AGGATTGCACAAGACAAAGATAATAAAATCTTGGCCCTGAGAGCCTTAAAATCTATGTTGGCATATGGTAATCGCAAGTGGGATTAAAGTAGTTTGTACCAATTGCACAGCACTGCACATGCCTTTCCATATAAATATGAGCATTACTACAATGACAAACAGCAGCTGTAAGCTAGGAAGAAATCTTTTTAAAGGAAGAATTAAAATAAAAGAATCAGAGTCATATACTAGGATCTGAGTTAAGGAAGTCAGCTTTAAAGATGTGCTTCAATGACATTAATAACAAAAGAAACACACCATTAAACACAATCCTGAATGAAGTTATATTTTGAGTTGAGGCTATAAGCCTTGGGACACATCTTGTGAGTAGAGATACTGCACATATATTCAAAACACTTCAGATATGACACATAAAATGTTAAATGCTAATTAAAACTGTATTTCTCTACCCAGAGAATGATTCATACTACTGATCTTTTTTTTTTTAAATAATAGTTTAACTGTAATATAGTTAACACACAAAAAAAACAGAAATACCCAACTGTGTTCTGGGTACCACATACAAACCAGAACTGTTGGCCATACCAGTGTTTCTCCACCACTGTGTGAACTTTCTTCCAGATTCTGAATGTGCCTAATGCATATGAGACAAACCTCTTTCCATGAAAGGATATCTAAACTAAAAGTTGCCCTGCCTGAGAAGAAAGTAGTATAAAGGCTCAGGTGGTATAAAAAGTAAGACATACTTTTAAGAATATATAAAATGCAAGTTTACATGCTTTTCTAAATCAATGCCTTTGATCAGTTCTGCTATTAATTATTGGTGGTGATATGCACGGAAGCACAACTTGATTTACCAATTTGGGCTACATTTCCTTTTCCTTAATGTTACATGTTCTGCTCATGACATAACTGGGATTCAGCAATTTTTGATTACCACAGTAGTATTTTAGAGTTCCTTTTTGGAAAAGCAGCATACCTGGAGGCAAGAAGACAAAATCTAGTCCATTGTACCACAATGGCTATGGCTACTATGAACAAAAGATATATTTAAAAGTGTAAAGAGAATAGCTTAATATATAAATCTCTCATTTTTAGTGTGGATGAAGGAGGAACAACAAAAATGCATGCCTGCAGAAGAAAACCAAACATACGTAACAATTAAATAATGCATATTCTTCGGCATAATCATAGGCCAATACTTTATATTGACTCTCCAATATCCTCTACAATGAGCTATCCTAACATCATTGCAGGGAGGCAACTCTTTTGTCCAGCACAACTTGGCGGCAGTGACTGTTTTTTTGTTCTGTGTATTTGTCTACCTCCTCCTTGTCTGAAGGATAAGCAGTGGTAATGCAAGGAACCACAGGATTTGGAATGTATACATTTTGTTAGACCTATTTAATTCTGGGCTATCTCCATCAATAAATTTCAGAAAACAAATTTAAACACATGGAGGCTAGAGAAGACTGATGAAGTGCTACCCTAGATCATGGAAAGATACAAGGAATAGGTCCCAAGCACAGTTCAAAATGATCACAAATGCTGATCTGTTTGAATTCTTCATCTAAATCTGAGGTATACGTAGCTTTGGAATGACAAAATTTTGAATTTACAACTATGATGTCTGAGTTAGCTTTTAAAAAATATGTATTAAATGGAAATTGAGAGTCTGGTATCAAATAATGTTGGATAAGTCTTAGACCATACCAGTGTTATGCTTTAATATGCTTTTTTTTCTTCCAGATAAACACCGAGATTTATTTTTCCTAGCTCTTTATGTATCTTGCTATTGGTTGCCATCTAATATAAGCCTATTCGCTACCCAGTTACCAACTGTGTATTACAGAATTAACCACAACTGTTAAGGTTGCATCAGGTCAAGTTCAAAGTGATAAAACCTTAATGGACTAAGGTATCAAGAATATAACACAGTCTCTTATGGATGTTTTCTATGTCTCTCCAGAGAAATACTTAAAACACTAAGAAATATTTATTTAGAAATACCAAAGTTTTAATACTATTTCAAAACATAGGTAGTTGATTTCTAAACCCAGCTGATATAAAGGTAATTCAATTTAAAAAAGTACATGTATTAATGTAGTGAATGTTATAAAAATTGTGCAGAATCTGCAGTCTTAATATATATGTTATTCTTCCCAGAAGGCTCTAAACAAAAAGAAAGTTGTGTTACTGTTTTTGTTAACATACTTAATCATTTATGATATCATAAATTACCCCTCTTTTGCTTATTAACAGTCAGCTGACTAGAAAACCAGTGTCTCTAATCTCTCTAACCCCAAATAGTAATTTTGTTGCTGGAGTAACTAACTAGCAGAGATCCTCTAGCTAATACTTTTGGCATTTTTAATGTCATGATCTTATAGCTAGATTTGATGAGAATTTCAAAAATATTAATTATATTACTAAAATGAATTTTAATTTCTGCAAATAGTATTTGGGGGGGGAGATGCCACTGTTGGTCAACTGCACTGTTGTTGCATTTAGCTCATCCCACCACCCTGACATCCCTTCTCTGAATTCCTTTGTTTCTCTTTGAATCCCCAAATCTTTCTAAAAATCTCACTTCAACTTTAAAATTTCCATCTCTTGAGGAATCGACAATTTATCTCCATAACAAAATCCACTTTTCCCTCCGTGGAAGTCTACTATGGACCTCCAAATCAAAAACTTAACTGGTAGAGTTAAAAATCACACCCCCCGCCCAGAAGTATATTCTTTTCCCCCACATTTTCAGCAACACCAATGTTACTGTTGAGCACTTCCATTTTCTATCCGGATGATACTCCCATAGGGTGCAGATGTGGCACAAGCTCAGCACTCTACAATACTTTGCTTTTCTACCTTTTCCTTAGCATTAGAGCGGTTGGAAGTAAAGGACTGAGTGACAGAGAGAGACTTGATTAGTCTACAGAGTGGCAGCATCAATTAGTAAGTAACTTGTGAAAGGAAAAATAAATGAATGAATGAGCAAGTGAGTGGGAGAGAAAGTGATACCCGAAGAGAGCAGTAAGCAGAGGAGTCGGGGAGAGAAAAAAAGAAAAGAAGCCAAACTGTGGGAGCAAGAGGAACCCAGAGAGTCCGCACCTCCTCCCGCACACCCCGCCGCCA